CGCAGCCCCAGAGCAAACACGCCTGCCTCGAGCCGCATCTGGTCCTGTTAATGTTCACCCTCTCCGGCTCTGCCAGCTGTGCCCGGGGGCGATATAAGCAGCCCCGGGCAGCCACAGCCACGCTGGCCACGGCGACACTGTCCCTCTGCGGCTGACCAGGACGGAGCAGGCCACCATGGAGAGGCTGCTGCTGACCACCCTGCTGCTGCCCCTGCTGTCTGTGGACTCGGCGACTTCAAGTGGGTGCTGAGGTGGGGAGGGGCTGCGCTCGGTTGTGCTGCTGCTGCTGCTGGGGGCGGTGGGACCCCACAAGCTCACCTCTGACTGAGCAGCTAACACAACAACTGCGACTGTCCCTCACACCTGCTGGGTCAGGGCCAGGAGCACTCACCTTCCTGGGGAGCACAAACTCTCCTGGGGAGCACTCACCCTCTGAGGGAGCACTCACTCACACTCCGGGGGAGCACTATCTTGAGTCAAGACCAGGAACACTCACCCTCCTGGGCGTAGGATGACATTGGTTTGTCCTTCCTCCCTTGCCACAAGGAACCCAGGTTTATTACAGTGCTCCTGAGGCACTTCCATTCCATGGTGTTCGTCTGTAAACTCTTCCCTGTGCTCTCCTCCCCAACCAGTTAATCAGCTTTCCCACCCCTAATCAGTATCTGTTCATTTGTAAGGTCAGATCCTTCTAGGACACTGAAATTGTGTTGTAAGTTAATATTGCCTTTCTCCTCTCCTTATGTCTTTTGAATAGTTTAAAGAAATGCCCTTTTTGTATAGATACAGGAAGACTGTTAATATTATGCTTTGTAACTTAGGATTTAATTGGCTTTGAATATTATTCACTCCCGGGCATCTGCTTTCTCAACTTAAGCCTCAGTTGCCCTTACTTCCTAGCACCCCCAGGGCAAGCGGTGAGCTACCCTGGCATCGAAATGGGCCAGGCCAAAGTGCCACGAATTTTAACTATAAGTCAAGAGTTTGATCACAGACCAATGCTGTCATGATCCAAAAGTAACGACAAGACTAGGACCCTGCTAGGGATAGGAAAGACTATCTGGCCGGAGCACTGTAGTCTGAGATCAAGATGGCCCCAGAAGAGCAATTCTAACAGCTTAAGTATTTCTTACTGTGTCCATAGAAAATGATTTATATTATGTATGCTTATATGTTTGTTGGACAAGGAGAGGAGAAACACACCTAGCGATTCCGTTCTAGGGTGGGTCGTCCTGCTGAGAGAGTATCTGTCCTAGAAGTGGATTTCCCCGAGGGAAAGAAATTCACCCCCATTGATTGTGACCACACCTATGTGTAGTTGTTACCCCAACCCCTCATGGTTTTGGGATTTGACTAGACTGTAAGAGTGGGCTGGGGGATCAGGATCCAGACTTCAGAAGGAGAAGGAGAAAGGGGATCCAGATTCCAGAGCCAGAGGAGAATAAAAGGGGATTGAGGAGGAGAACGAAGGAGCACGGGGGAGGGAGAAGCAGGAGGAGAATCAGAAGAGGATGGAGATGGGAATGGAATAAACTGCAACTAAGACCAACCAGCCTGGCCCTCATTCCTTTCTTCACCTGCCCATCACCATCGACCTCCCCGGGGTGGGGGAACCAGTGTGAGACTACCGAACATGGGCGGAGGGAGAGATAGAGCCGCCACTGCAGCCCCTTTTTGAGTTTAAACACCGGGGAGCACTCACCCTCCTAGGGAACACTCACCCTCCTGGGGAGCACTCTGTCAATTCAGCCAATCAGGACTGGGAGCACTCACCCTCCTAGGGAAGACTTTCCCCCAGGGATTTCATATGCGGTTTCTTCTCTCGTGGCCCTCAGAGGACGCCCCCATAATCAGCGATTCCAGGGTTAGATGAGCCCCTCAGGACCAGAGTCCAGGCAGTGTGCAGGGAAGAGAGAGGGTGTGGGGTGCAGGTTGGGGCTTGGGGCGCTACAGGGAACCTCTGCTTGTCTCCTGCAGACCTGGAGGGGCAGTCGCTCCTCTTTCCCCGGGAGTCGGCCACCGACTACGTGTTGCTGACGCCACAACAGCAGAAGCCGCTGCACAACTTCACGCTCTGCATGAAGGCCTTCTCCGACCTCCCGCGAGACTATAGTCTCTTCTCTTATGCAACCAGATCCCATAGCAATGCGCTGGTGCTGCACGTGAATAGGCCGGGCGAGTTCTCCCTGACCATTGGCCACTCTGAGATCGTCTTCAGGACCCCCCAGCCCTCGCAGGGCCCCTTCCACGTGTGTGTCAGCTGGGAATCCTCCACGGGCATCGCCACCCTCTGGGTGGACGGGAGGCCCCAGGGGAGGAAAGGCGTTAACAAAGGCTATGTCCTGGGTGCCGAGGCCAAGATCATCCTGGGGCAGGAGCAGGACGCATTCGGGGGCGGCTTCGATGAGAAACAGTCCCTGGTGGGGGAGGTGTGGGATGTGCACTTCTGGGACAGGATTATTTCCATGAAGCGCACTGGGCCCAGCTGCCAAAACGGCAACCTTCTCGACTGGCACTCGCTCACCTTCCAGTCCTCCGGCGACGTGGTGATCAAGCCCAAGCTTTGGCGTTAGACCCCAACCACCCCACCCCCCTCTTCCAAATTAAACGCATCTGCCTACCTGCTTTCTGTGTCTGCTAACCTCGCACCCACGGTGCTTTGAAAAGGTGGAGGGTACTGGGGCCTGAGGAACAGGCCAGCAGGGAGGGCACTTGCCCTGCAGGTGGTGAGCGGGGTTCAATTCTCAGCACCCCTTTTGGTCTCCAGAGCACTGACAGGAGGAATTCCTGAGCGCAGAGGCAGGAGTAACCCCTGAGCACCAAGCCAAATGAAATAAAAAATTCAAAACGGGGCTGGAGTGATAGCACAGCGAGTAGCATGTCTGCCTTGCATGCAGCCACCATGGCCGACCCGAGTTTGATTCCTCTGCCCCTCTCAGAGGGCCCGGCAAGCTACCTAGAGTATTTCGCCCACACGGCAAAGCCTGGCAAGCTCCCCATGATGTACTCAATATGCCAAACACAGTAACAACAAGTCTCACGATGGAGACTTACTGGGCCCACTGGAGAAAATTGATGAACAACAGGAGGACAGTGACTGCCGACCCGAGTTCAATCCCCAGCATCCCATATGGTCCCATGAGCACTGTCAGGAGGAATTCCTGAGTGCAGAGCCCAGAATAACCCCTGAGCACTGCTAGGTGTGATTCCCCCCCCCCAAAAAAAATAAATATAAATCAAAAACTCAAAAAGGAGGAAGGGTGAACATATGGGAGTCTCAGGCTCAATTCTGGCCCGGCTTGGTCTGGGGTCCTTCTGCAAGAGCACTGAGCCAGGAGCAATGCCGAACACCGGCAAGTGTGGCCCCAAAGCCGGAAGCCAGCACAGGCCATGCGGCCACAGGGGCAGGAAGCTCGCTGGTCCTCCTGACATCCCGTGTTGTGGCCGAGGCTTCTTCAGCCCACAGCCTGTTCCTGGAAGAGCCCCCCAGCCGAGACACCCCCCACCAAGCTGGTCCCCTTGGGAGCAGAGGCTGGACCTCTCCAGTCAGAAGATCCCCAAAGGTACCACCCAGCGGTCTGGGGGCCTAACTTCCAGCCATCGCAGACCAGCCCTGAAGCAAGTCTTGCTCCTGAGCATGTCCCGAGATGGAGGAGGGGATGGGGCACCGCCTCTGCCCCTCCTCTTGGAGACTCCCCACAAGCTGCCTGCAAAGGGGGCTACCTCCCCCCCCCAGAGAAGGCCAGGTCCCGAAGGCACGAAGCCGGGTGGAGACCTGAAACGAGGAGGGGGTGGGCATGGGGGGACAGGCCCTTGAGAGTCTCCGCCCTTATCAGAGGCCCAGGCGTGACACCCCGATAGAGGCTGAGCTTCCTTCTTTCTGCACCTCGTTGCCCTCGGTGTGGACGTGGGGGCCAGTGGCTCAAGGCCAGCAGCTCCTGCCATGGACACACGCACCTGCTCGGCCGGGTACTGCTGCTCCTTTGTGAGTCGGGGGCGCCCTACCCCAAGGGCTAGGGCCAGAAGCGGCCCTTCCGGGGTGACTTTGCTGGGCACCTGGGGGTGTGGGGACCAGTTCCTGGAGGACTGTGCCCAGGCAGAGAGGGGCGGCGAGGGGAGAGGCTGCAGCTCCCAGGGGCATCGCCGGCCTCCCAGGGCCCGGCGGGTGGACACACTGACCCTTCTCTGCATTTTGTAGGCATGGGCAGTGTGGCAGCAGGTGACTCTCCGGGCCAGCAGTGTGTCTGCCCCTGTGTCCTTCCCGCCCCCTTGGCCCAGGGCAGTGGCCTGCTCCTGACCTCGTCCCCCCACACACAAGCATCTCGCACCCTCCATCCCTCCATCTGTCACGTCTGCTGGACGCGAAGCAACTCTGCCTGCGAGTCCTCACCCTTCCCTATTACTTCTGTCCCGTGGATGGTGCTGGCCCAGCCCGGGTGACCGGAGGTCTCAGTCACCATGGCCTGGACTGGGGTGTCCTGTCGCCCGCCTCTGGGGTCCCTCCCCTCAGGACAAACCCGTCACTCACCACCATGAGCCGTGACAGTGTAGAGCCGGGCCACCCCCCACCTCTGCTGCACCGTCCTCCCTCTCCTCATGGGAGCTTGGCAGCCTCTGGGTGCTGGCCAGGAGCCCTGACACCACCTGTGGCCATGCCCAACGTCCCATGGGTCTGGACTGCTTCCCTCCCAAGGCCTGTGTTGCCCCAGACCCCCGGACGAGGGGACTGCTCACGCACACACTCCCCTGCAAGACCCCCGTGGCATCCCCAGTGACGCCACTCTCCCCTGGTGGCTTCCCTCGGCCAGGGACCTTCAGCGCCCCTCCCCTCCTTCCTGGGGGATCGGTCGCCTGGCTCACGCAGAGTGGGGTCAGAGACCCAGCCACAGAGCAAACACTCCTGCCTCGAGGGCACTTCTGGTCCTGTTAATGTTCACCCTCTCCAGCTCTGCCAGCTGTGCCCGGGGACAGGGGTCTGATCTAAACTGCCCTGGGCAGCCATGGCCCACGGCGACGCTGTCCCTCTGCGGCTGACCAAGACGCAGCAGGCCACCATGGAGAGGCCGCTGACCGCCCTGCTGCTGCCCCTGCCTTCCATGGACTCGGCGACTTCAAGTAGATGCTGAGTTGGGGAGGGGCGGCTCTCGGGGTGCTGTTGCCGCTGATGGTGTAGTGGGACCCCACAAGCCCTCGCTCGCCTCCGACTTAGCAGCTAACGTGGCAATGGTGACAGTGCCTCACCCCCCCCTCGGGTCAGGACCAGGAGCACTCGCCCTCCTGGGGATCACTTGCCCTCTTGGAGGTTCTCGCCCTCCAGGGGAGCACTCGCCCTCCTCAGGAGCACTCACCCACCTGGGTGCACTCTCTCAAGTCAGGATTGGGAGCACTTACCCTCCTAGGGAAGACCTTCCCCCCAAGATTTCATGTGCAGCCTCTTCTCTCATGGCCCTCAGAGGAGGCCCCCATGGTCAGCGATTCCAGCGATGGGTGGGGCCCTCAGAAACAGAGTCCAGGGAGAGTGCAGGGTGTGGGGGGCAGGCCAGGGCTCAGGGGCGCTCCCGGGCACATCTGCTCGTCTCCTGCAGACCTGGAGGGGCAGTCGCTCCTCTTCCCCTGGGAGTCGGCCACTGACTTCATGTTGCTGACGCCACAACAGCAGAAGCCGCTGCACAACTTCACGCTCTGCATGAAGGCCTTCTCCGACCTCACACGTGACTACAGCCTCTTCTCCTACAGCACCAAAACCCATAGCGACGCGCTGGTGCTGTACATGTATAGGCCGGGCGAGTTCTCCCTGACCGTTGGCCACTCCGAGATCGTCTTCAGGACCCCCCAGCCCTCGCAGGGCCCCTTCCACGTGTGTGTCACCTGGGAATCCTCCACGGGCATCGCCACCCTCTGGGTGGACGGGAGGCCCCAGGGGAGGAAAGGCGTTAGCAAAGGCTATGTCCTGGGTGCCGAGGCCAAGATCATCCTGGGGCAGGAGCAGGACGCATTCGGGGGCGGCTTCGATGAGAAACAGTCCCTGGTGGGGGAGGTGTGGGATTTGCACTTCTGGGACAGGATTATTTCCATGAAGCGCACTGGGCCCAGCTGCCAAAACGGCAACCTTCTCAACTGGCACTCGCTCACCTTCCAGTCCTCCGGCGACGTGGTGATCAAGCCCAAGCATTGGCTTTAGACCCCAGCCCAACCCACCGCCCTCTTCCAAACTAAATGCCTCTGCCTACCTGCTTTCCGTGTCTGCTAACCTCGCACCCACGGTGCTTTGGAAAGGTGGAGGGTACAGGGGCCTGAGTTATAGGCCAGCAGGGAGGGCACTTGCCCTGCAGGTGGTGAGCGGGGTTCAATTCTCAGCGTCCCTTTTGGTCTCCAGAGCACTGCCAGGAGCAATTCCTAGTGCAGAGGCAGGAATAACTCCTGAGCACACAACCAAACGAAATAAAAAATTCAAAAGGGGGCTGGAGTCATAGCACAGCGAGTAGAGCACTAGCATTGCACGCGACCGACCGTGTTCGATTCCCAGCATGCCATATGGTCCCTGAGCACTGCCAGAGGTAATTCCTGCATGCATGAGCCAGGAGTAACCCTGTGTAACCCCTGTGTAAATCTGGGTGTGACACAAAAAGAAAAAAAGAAAGAATGAGTGGCTTATGAAACCATAAGCTGTTACTGGAAACTACTGTTTAACTGTTGCCTCATCACTGTTACCAAGGTGCTTGCTTAACTTTGAAACTATGAAACCTATATAAACCGCAAGAGACCTCTCCATGGGTGAGGCCGTAGACCCCAGTTAACTGGAATCAAACTCCTTTTGCGTTTGCATTGACTTGTGTGTGCCTCTGTCCCTCTTATGTGCATAGCCTCGTCCATCTTGTGTGGGCCTCTGTCCGTCTCTTTACTCCAGATCCGAAAACCTCCCTTACAGAACGCAAAAGTCCAGCTGCATCCTGGGGCCCCCTCTTGTGTCCCTCCCAGAGCCCCACGTTTTGCCTTCATTCAGATGTGACTCAGTGAAGGTGTCAGGATGACACCTTGTGTCCACACCAACGAGGGTTTCCACAGGCACCCCGAGGCAAAGGGAGGGGTCCACCTGCCCCCGGCCAGGCAAAGACACAGGAAGCCGCTTCCCTGTCCTCGAACATAGGGGACACAGAGGCAGCCCTGGGGGGTACAGGGAGGGCCCTGATTATTCTGTGGGTTCAACACCATCCATAGTGTGTACCTACACGCATTTCACTCCCCTGAAGAACAAAAATATTTACGTTGTAATTGCCCGGGCAAGTCAGGCAGGGGCTCAAAGTGCCCAGCGAAGGCCTTGGTTCCAGTCCCGACCCCATTTGGTCCCTTAAACACCACCTGTTGTGACCTTCAAAGCTAACAATGAAGGAAATAAGCTGCAATCACCTTTCAAACACATTGTACATCTCCAGACCTTGCTCAGTGACACGCGGGCCAGCAGGCATGTTTGCAAAGTGTGCAGTGCCTACTACATATGGAATCCCAGTGACCAAGAGCTTCCACAAGCAAGCCCTCCACCCCACCCCTAGTATGGGGCTTCCAGGACCCGGGCTGGCTCTCCCAGGAAACCCGCCTGCCCAGCTGACTGGCTGTCATGCCCACAAGTTGTTTCCAGGTTCCATCTGAGCGCGCCAACAGCCCCGGCCCAGAGACTCCCAGTTCAATCCCAAAATGGATTAGTGCCATACAGAGATGCCTCTAGAACCATTTACAATCTAGAAATGTATGTTCACAATCGCGACCGTGCGTGCTCTCGTGATCTTCAAAGTGAGCCATGGAAAATAAATGATCTAGCGTCTGCCCCTGGCAGGTAGGCTTGAGTGGTAGTGGGAAATTTTGAGCAAAATCTATCTCCCAATGGGGTATGGTGCCGCCAGTAGGTTAGTCTGTACCTGTGAGGTGAGTGCATCAGCAGCCTTTCAGATACCCCAAAATTGCTACTGTGCCTTTGGCCAGACCCCAAAAACTTGGGGCAAAGTTTACCAAGAAAGTAAACGGCCAAATGTTAGGTATGTGGGAGACACACCCACAAACCACCTCCGGCTCAGCTATATAATTGGAGGCATGGCCTCTCCGGTTCCTGATCGAACTGCTTAATGGCCATGATCCCAGAGTCTCAGAAACGAATCTCGGAACCCAAAGGCTTTTGGCAGAAATGCGTCCTGTTCCTGCAGTAGATTCCTGGCGCTGGGCCACTCCAGGTGGGAATAGGTTTCGTGCCTTGACCTGTTCCCCCTGGCGGCCTGGTGACCACCATCCTCCAGAGGCCACTGGATAGTCAGGTTTGGGCCTGCAGTGACGAGACACACTGGGCCTCACCCCACGGGGGTGGAGCCGACTCTTTCTCCCCATCCCAACGAGACCCCGTGTCGCTACCTACAAACGGCCTCTCTGGCTCCTGATCAAGCTGATTAATAACGACGATACCGGAGACTCAGAAACAAATCTTGAAACCCAGTGGCTTTTGGCAGAAATGCATCTGGACTGCATACAAGTGGCCGCTGGCTCAGAGCTTATTGGAAAGCCAGGTATGAGCCGGCAGTGACAGGGCAACTGCAGTCTCATGGGAAGGGGGGCGGTACTGGCTCGTCCTTCACGCCCTACTGAGGTCACGAGTTGCCCCCCACAAGCGGCTCTCTGGCATGGCCATGGCTCCAGAGGAAAAAGAACTGAATCCAGAGCCCGGAAGCTTGCAGCAGAAAAGTGCATGGACCATGCGTTAAACTACGGCGCCTTGCCTCTCCAGGAGGGAAAGGGTGTTGCTCCCTTCCGCCTTTTCCCCCCCGACAGCAAGGTGGCCACCACCTCAGAGCTTATTGGAAAGCCAGGTATGAACCAGTGGTGAAGGGGCAACTGCAGTCTCATGGAAAGGGGGACGGTACCGGCTCGTCCTTCACGCCCTACTGAGGCCACGAGTTGCCCCCCACAAGCGGCTCTCTGGCACGGCCATGGCTCCAGAGGCAAAAGGACTTAGTCCAGAGCCCAGCAGATTGCAGAAGAAAAGTGAATGGACCATGAGTTAAACTACGGCACTTTGCCTCCCCAAGAGGGAAAAGGTGTTGCTCCCTTCCGCCTTTCCCCCCCCCCGTGGCAGCAAGGTGGCCACCACCTCAGAGCTTATAGGAAAGCCAGGTACGAGCTGGCAGTGACATGGCAACTGCAGTCTCATAGGAAGGGGGGGCGGTACCAGCACATCCTTATGCCCTTTGCCCCCCGTGAGTGGCTCTCCAGCACGGCCATAACACCAGACACACAGAGACCAATCTTGTAATTATCTGACTCCTTGCAGAAATCCAAAATCGTGGCCAAATGACATTATATGATTCTCATAACCAGCTATAGAAAACGAAATATTTCACAATGCCTGTTCAGCAATTCTGATTGTTTGGGGGGAAATTCTAAACAATAATGGTGCATCTTTTCTCAAAATAATGAATGTAATCAATGGAGAGAAGAGTTAAGTAGAAATCACCTGCCTCACAGGCATTTGAAGGGGTGGGAGGGGGGTATACTGGGGTTCATGGTGGTGAAAAATGAGTACTAGTGAAGGGAAAGGTGTTTGATCATTGTATGACCGAGACTTAAACCTGAAAGCTTAGTAAATTTGCCCATAGTGATTCAATAAATAAATAAGTAAGTAAAATAAGTAAAGGCCCTCCCGTTGATCATCGATTTGCTCGAGCGGGCCCAGTAATGTCTCCATTGGAGACTTTGTTGTTACTGTGTCTGGCATCTCGAATACGTCACGGGGAGCTTGCCAGGCTCTGCCATGCGGGAGAGATACTCTCAGTAGCTTGCCAGGCTCTCCGAGAGGGGCAGAGGAATCGAACTTGGGTCGACCATGTTGGCTGCGTGCAAGGCAAACACCCCACCACTGTGCTATAAGAAAATTAATTAATTAATTAATTAATTAAGGTGGAGTTCATGCCGAATTCAATCAGCTAGTCAGTGGCTGAATAAATAGCAGTACTCCTACAAAAAAAAAAAACCTTAATGCCCAAAACGGGAGGGAAATTGTCTGCCATCGAGGCAGGGTGAAGACTGGAATGTGGGTGGTGGAGAATGGGCACTGGTGGAGGGATGGGTGTTCCATCATTGCATGGCTGAATCTCAAACGTGAAAGCTTTGTAACACTATCTCACGGTGATAGAATTGAAGGGGGACAAGTAGTGTGGAGCTCATGCCCAATTCAATCAGCTCAATCAATGGCTGAACAAATAGCAGGACTCCTACATGATTTAAATAAATATATAAGTAAATAAATAAATGAAATAAAGTGTTCAGCAATGTCCCAGCTGCTCTGAAAAGCGACTTCTGGCACAGAGCGTTTGGAGCAAGAAGCGACACCCGTTCTCAGCAGGCGAAAGAAGCTGTCACTCCGGGAACTGAGCTCTGAACACTGGAAGATCGAGTGCCTCCAGTCTCTGCAGGACGGGGCCGGAGGCTGATCAATCGCCAATCGCCGTGATCTAATGGATCCTACTGATGTCGTGTGGAGGACCTGTGGGTGACTCGCTCCGTGGGTGCACAGAGGCTGCAGCTGAGCCCGGGTTTTCTGGACGAAGCCTCGTTAGTGGTTTACCAAGTTACTGGACCTTGTCAAAGCACCAGTCTTTGACTTTATAGATATGTATTCCTTCTTTCCCATTGTATTGATAGCTCCTCTAATTGGTATTTCCTTCCGTCCCCTTAGACTGGGTGGTTTGTTCTCCCCCTTCTCCCACCCCCGTTTCCTGCGGTGGACGTTCCTAAGCTGACATCAGGATTTCTCATGCCTTTTTATCCCCTTCTGCCTCTGACCATGGCTTCTGTTGCTGCGTCCCTCAGACGTGGATAAGTCGTTTTTATTTCTCAAATCAGGGTGTGATCTGAACTCAGAGTGGCGTCAGAGACCGCAGACCCAGAGCAAACACTCCTGCCTCGAGGGCACTTCTGGTCCTGTTAATGTTCACCCTCTCCGGCTCTGCCAGCTGTGCCCGGGGGTGATATAAGCAGCCCCGGGCAGCCACGGCCACACTGGCCACAGCAACGCTGTTCCTCTGCGGCTGACCAGGATGGAGCAGGCCACCATGGAGAGGCTGCTGCTGACCACCCTGCTGCTGCCCCTGCTGTCCGTGGACTCGGCGACTTCAAGTGGGTGCTGAGGTGGGGAGGGGCGGC